AGTCTTTGGGTTTGTAAAGTTGTGTTTACTTGAAGAGAAACGGAAAAGGAACCTTCTTTATTGGGCATCATACAGTCACACTGGAGTTGTATACGTGTTTTGTTCCTTCATAAAAAAGTGTGTTCTGATAAAGCGTTGGCGGTGGAGAGAGTGCAAAAAACCTGTGCATGATTCTTGTATAATCAAAATAAATACTCCTTCTGGTTCCAAAAGATCTTGGCACTTTGACTTCACAGTTTTTAAGGAAATAAACACTGTTTGACACTGTTTGACACTGTTTTGTGTAGATTTATTTGTCAAATAAGGCAAATAAGGAAGTGTAAAGATCTTTCTGGTGCTGCTAAAAATGGAAAGTGTAAAGATCTTTCAGAACCGGAGGGAGTAGATCCATAAGTTAACCATTTTAATGTGTCACTTGATGGTCCAATCCATAAGGGATTGGGGGAAGTGAGTCAACTTGAGTGGTACGAGAATTTTCTGTACGCAAACAATTCATTTTTTGTGATCACATACACTTTTCTTTACTAAATTTAAAACCAGTTTTCTGTACATAGACAATTACACATAGGTCTGTGAGTCGGAGTGTAACCAAGTGTGTACAAGTACTAGCATTTCTCTTCTTAGGGAGAACTAAGAGTTGAGGTCGTAGATACTAATTAAGTACTCCCTCTCCTGGCTAAGGCAGTCCTCATTTTCTTTCTTTCTAAATTCACTTTTCTTAATCATCGTAGCATATCTACATGTCTTAATGTTGATGAAATAGTAATTATTACTGAGACAGAGGTAGTTAATATTAGTTGAGTACAATAATATCATCACATTTTAAATCTTTCTTTAAAAATTTAGAAGTGATAATAGAAATTACAATTCATACAGGAAATAAACCTAGTCATACGTACAAATTGCAATTCATTTTCATAAAAGTGGAGTGACAAACAAACTTATGAATGTTTTCTTTTGAATTGTAATTTGTTGATCTGGTCTATTTAAGTTTAGTCTGGTTTGAATTGGGTTGATCTGGTAAATGGCTGATCTTTGTGTATTTTATAATTGTCTAATTCTGGTCTAGTATGTTTAAATCTGATCTATTTTGATATGGGATTCAAACCAGTCTAAAAGAAAACATTCGGTGGACAACATCCATAGTAGCGGGACAACTACGCAAATCTTTTTAGCAAAATGCCAAAATGATACCGGTTTTCTGAAATCGAGTAATTTTTCAAAAGTTCTTTTGACAAAGATATTCGGGTAACTAATGTCCACAGTCCACATATCATTAAGAATGTAAAAATCATTACCGAAGTATGGGTAAAGAGTTGGTTGGTTCTATTTAAAACCACAAAACTATTATTTGGCTAATCAACTAATAAATTTAACCGATCATGTTATACACAAGATGTTATTAACAATTTCATGTCTAGATCAATGAAGCGAATGTCAACATACACCAACGCATAGTTATGAATTGTTATAAAAACCTAAACTTTATCAATAAATTACAAGGACTAGGGGTGTAAATTAAAACTGCTGATACAATAAATTATATATCGTCCTTGATTAGTTGTATAATTCAAGTATACCTTTATTTGATAACTAGTCAATGACAATATATTACGTCTAACAATATTAGCTTTAAACTTTAGACTTTCATGAGCTACTTTGTTCCATAAATTAGGGGTTTTGTAAAAGAATATACTTTACCTAAAAATAAGAATTACTTTAAGATTTTTTCTAAAGTTTCTCCATCAAATCTTCCACTTCATTATTATCCATTGAGATACTGGACAAGCAGCCGTAAAATGTCCGGTGAATGAGTGAATCACACCTCATATTTAAGATTTTTTTTTCTAAGGAGGTTGAGAGTCTCATAATTGTTGATTTGTTGATAATACATTCTTTAAGTGATCACTTAATAAGAGTTTAGCCTCACACTCTCACATCAAATGACATGACAAAAAATTAGAAGACGTTGGAAATATTGAAAATTGCTATGAGAAACGGGCATCAGAGGCGGACCCACTAAGGGTCCCGGGACTCGTCCACCTTCAAAAAAATACCTATATACATTATATATATATTATATAAAATTAATTATTCAATGTATATTTACACAAAAAATGATCTTAAAATTAAAAGAACGGAGCAGTGCAGCGGTGACGGGTGCTTATTCCATATATGAACTCTCGGGTTCGAAACCTGGTCTCTTCCTTTTATTCCTTTTTTCAGTGCTGGGCTTGAACAATGTATACGAATTTCCAACAAAAACTTCAATTTGGTTCATTTAGCTCATTGGTTGAGTATGTCCTTCATTGTCCAAATGATGACTAGAGCTCAAATCCGATCTCTACATTTCTTAATTTTTGCTACTTTTCTCCAATTTGCTCCTTATTTTCTTCATTTGTCCACGGTAAATGTATCCAAATAACATCAAATGTACAAAAAAAATAATACACGCATAGGACCGCACTAATATAAATTAACGAAAAATAATAAAAATATGTACAAAAGTACAACTTTAATAACTAAAATTATCAATGATAAAAAAACTAAAATTATCAGCAAACTAAGCCTAAAAAGTGTGTAAAATATAAGCACATTAGTCGCCCAGGTTTTTTTCTCTGTTGCTTTTCTTTGCATATCTTTTTTAATGTTAGATTAAATTAATAAATTCATGTATTTATAAATTTTATTTTCAATTTTATACGATTTAGGATGAAAAGATATTTTGATGTAGTACCCAAATTTAAAGAAACCTAGAGTACTGGGAGTAGTTCACGTGTTAATTCAAATGATTCGCCATTAGTAAATGAAGAATTGGATCAATTTTTTTATTAGTTTTATACTTGTATTAATTAGAGACTAGAGATATAAAAGGGTAGGGACTCGTGGCTACGACTTTCTGGATCCGCCACTCGCATTAATCTAGTTTGTTGTTAAGTTGTTTGGGACATGAGAGCCTATGATTAATCTAGAGAAGTTAGGATATAAGAGTTGTAGGAGAAATGTTTCAATAATATTCATATACTTGATAATGATATGGCATCCACGCATCCCATGTATTAGATATCGGTACTCGTCAGCACATAGAGTCTGTTTGGTAACACTGAAATCGGCTGAATCGCCCGATTCTGCTGAAATTTATGAAGTCCTGACTGCATTGGTTGTATTGACTGATTCTGCTAATTTATAAAAAAAATTATATTTAAAATATATTTTATTACTAAAATAAAGAAAAAATTAAATGAAAAAATAGTTAAAATGATCAACTTTAGTAGAGTAACTTTAGTCAAAATAACCAGAAAAGTAACTTCAAACCTTACTTTTTCTTATTATTACACAATTCAGCACACGTAATTAAAACTTACGTGTTTGATGAAAAAGTTGACTGATAATTCTCATAAAATGAAAAACATGGTCACAAAACGGGCTCTAGCTTATATCTTATTTTCGTTAAAAAATACTGAATTCATTTTGATAACAAGAAAGACTTCATGTATCCATAGGCCAATAAGCGTATCTAAAATTTTGTATATGCATGAGAGAAGATATATAGGTACTTGAAATTATTACTCCGTATTTTTTCAATTGATGAGCTAACTTTGAAACCTATCCAACTAAATAATACGGAGTATAATTATAATTAAGCTATTCAGCTTTAAAATTCTAAATTTCGATTTTTTGCCATAACTTTGAGCATTGGGTACTCATTTTGTATATGTATGCAGTAGTATAACTTTAAAACCCTGTATGATATTCTATACTCCGTAATCCGTATTTTCCTGAACTTACTGTATTGTTGTACTTGCATCAACGTACATATTCATATCCGTATAACATCAATAAAAATTTAACCGAAAAGCAATAAAGCATTATGAGGTTGTCAAACTTCATTTATACCGACCAAAAGAACATTATTTACAAAAAGAATTATATTCAATTCATTCAATTCAATTCAACAATACAAAATTTAAAATCCTTTCAATAACACACAAACTAGTTGAATATGCTGAAATGTATGAAATTATGATTGAAATGGTAGCATGGGTTGATCAGCTGAATTATGAAAAAATATATTAAAATATATTTTGTAAATATAATTACGAAAAAATTATACGAAAAATAACTAACCTGTGCAATAACTTTATCCTATCAATTCGAAAAATAATTTCAACACTATTCATGATATAAAAAAGTGTTTGGCTAATAAAAATGTTGACGGATAAATCTAATCAAAAATGATGTTTGTACACACTCTTATACACACTTTTGTACACACCTATGTCTGTGATTTTTTTTTTGTCTGTGAACATCGATTCACAGACAATGTTTTGCACAAACAAAATATTGTCTGTGAACCGGAGACAAAAAAAGCTTCACAAACATGTGAATAAAGTGTGTACAAGAGCGTGCATCAAGAACGATTGAAATCTAATAAACCCAAAATACATGAGTTATGAATGGGTCTTAATTTCAAAAGTCCACCAGACGAAATTTCAATCTCACCGAGAAAGTTCTGTATCCGTTTTTTTTTTTCTTTCTGTAATTGCCCGTTGGAACGTGGCAATCACAACGGTAACAAGAATTGTGTATTTTCTATGCATTTATTTATTACAGGGCATTATATACTCCGTCTATATCATTAAATATAATTCGTGGTACGAAGTTTGAAGATAGACGGCGTCAAAAGTTATTTAACGCGTTACCTTGACTCGTGTCCAGCCGTCAGATCAGAGGCCCGTAAACGTGGACGGCCCTCGTTCCTCGACAGGCAAGTAAGGCGTGACAGCTAGTGTAAAACGCAGACCCAGCGCTGTTGCGTTGTCCGCTAATCATTAGTTACAGTTAATTATTTCAAATTTTATTTTAATTTGAATTCTCAAACCGACCTTTGATTTTCTTTTTAATTATTTTCCACAAATTATTCGGCTTCTTCTTCTTTTTTCCATCTTTCCCCTTTGGCGCTTATATATACTCCTTTATTCTCCGCTCAACATCGCCAGATCTAGATTGTTCTCTGCAAGAGCTTAGCGTCTGTTGAAGTGATATTTTGTTCAGTTTCTCTCCAGATCTCATCTCTACTTCGAAGATAAGACATGGCTTCCTCAAACTTCCTTGTTTACGCGCTGGTCGCTTTGGCAGTGGTTGGATCTGCTTTAGGTCAGTCTCCGGCAGCCTCTCCGACGTCTGCGCCGAAGAAAGCTTCCACTCCAGTTGTATCTCCGGCCGCCACTCCGACGTCTTCGTCTGCGACGCCTCCTACCGCATCTACTCCTACTCAGTCCCCTCCAGTCACCGCGTCACCACAGTCCTCTCCGCCGTCCCCTGCCATCGCTTCTGCTCCCACCACGGGCCTGGGTCCAAGCGGTGTAACTCCTTCAACGATCGCATCTCCTAGCGGTTCACCTGCTCTCGCGCCGGGTGCTAACAGCGCTCCCGCTTTGAACAGAGTCGCACTTGCCGGATCTGCAGCGGCAGCTTTCCTCGCCGCCTCACTGCTGTTCTAAACTCCCAGATCTGCGGGATGACGGAGCCTCCTGTCACGTTCGCTGGATCTGACGATTTAGGCTTTTTTCACTTAGCTACATGTTTTTGTTTTTTGTTTCACTTGCGTTTATTGCTCCGGCTTTGAGCGGTGGCGGTGTTTATCGGTGGCGATTGAGGGGAGAGTGGGTACATTGACTGACCTCGATTCGTTGTTGACTTATTGTTGTTCATTGTTACTATTTGTGATGATATCTACTACTGCTATATTATTTGTATTACCATACTGTTATGAAAATTTCATTATATTCTTACTCTCGAGTCTCGATTTCCCGATCCCTTGTTTTGATCCAAAGCATTAAACTCAAACTGACGGAATTTAAAGTCATTGTATCTAAACGAAGAAAAGGAATTTTGGGGGAATTTGTTGGTATAAACCCTATTCTGCTCCGAATACTCAGGCATGAACATCTGTGAGTTTGGAAGATAAGGTAGCGGGGGTGGGGGGTCACATGGGGGGTACGCTTTACAGCTAGCGGTAGGTAAGGATATTGTTTGTCACCCACGGCCATGTGCTTCGGGGGCAAGAAGCGGAATAGATGGACTGGAGATAGCGGCTTTGACTGGAAGAGATTCTTAAAGTCGTGAGTTTGGAAAATTCTTCACCCCGTCATGGAAAGTTTATCCTTTGTGCCATTAATTTCGGGAGTAATAATAATACTCCGTTAAAAATAATGAATCTGTATGCAAATTACGGAGCCTGAATTACAAAATTTATGGACGATGATCAGATCTATTGCCAACTAGGTTACAAAACTAAACAAGATCTAAAATGATCAACCAGATTTAAAGTATGTTGTATATTAACTACTACCTCCGTTCCTATTAAAACTTCCAAATAGGTTTGGCACAAAGTTTAAGATAGTGGGTATTGTGTGGTGGAGAGTTGTGCAGAGGAAAGAGAAATGTGTAAGAAATGTTGTGACGGACGAAAAAATAAAGTTGCAAGTTTATTTAGGAACGGAGGGAGTAGTTTAGTTCATTTGCCAAAAAAACAACTATTTTAGTTCAAGATTAATTGAAATGTGATTAATCACATCGCACATTGTTTGAGTAGCCAGGTCTAAAATAAATACACCGTAATTTATTTTACTTCTATTATAACATAATTTGTGATGGTGATTCTATGCGTAATTAAGTGAGTTCATTCCAGTAAGCTAGTATTCATATTCATGTTTTAGCAATTTATATTTAGTTTCGGAAAATAATTTAATTTGTGTTTGATCTTCGCAACATAGATTTATACAAGTACAATTTTTCACAAATCAAATTAAAATTACTCTAGACTCTAGTAATAAAATAGATACAACGGAGTATCTAAATTTATTTGTACACACTTTTGTACACACTCCTATTTTGCCTGTACACACAAGTAATTTGTTAAGAAAAAAGCAGCATTTGTCTCCCAATTGTCTGTGTACACAGACAAATGTATAAAATATGTACAAAAGTGTGTACAACAAGAATGATTGAAAGATAAAAGTATTACACTCTATATCCGTGGGTACTATTGAGGATTCTTTTTTCAAAAATCATGTGGGTACCTACTCTATATCCGTTATTATATACGTAGTACCTATTTTCTTTGTCACGATATTTTTACTGGGACTGTAATTTGTTGATCTTGTCTGGTCTGGTCTGGTCTGAAATTTTATTTTTTATATTTTTTACATAAAGATTTTATTATATATATATATACATTTTATAATCCATAAATAATTATATTTTATTCATTTATAATTAAAAATAATAATATTCCTTCCGAAAATTGTTATCATTTTAGTTGTTCTGATTTCAATCCCAGACCGAAGCAGATCACACCAGACCAAAACAGACCAGACCATATCGAACCGGAATAATTATAATAATAATGATGATGATGATGATGATGATGATAATAATAATAATAATTATTATTATTATTATACTAAAAAATCAAAAACCCGATGTTTTCCCGTTAACCATACCAAGTTTTTAAAAATTTGTGGAACGATTGATCAACCGAAAGAAAAATGGTACATGGTACGGTTACGATTTTGAAATAAAACTACACCGGTTAATCGATGATTAACCGATAATCCAAATTTAACGTTTGAAAAATAAAGTTCAGAGTAAGCCTGATCTGATACATACTCTCATAGTGATTCTTTGTGCAATTTAATAATTACAATTTACCGTTTAGGAAGTACACATGAAATTCGAAACTAAGCTGCTTTATGTAACAAAGAAAAAAAACTAAGCATGCATCTAGGGATGGATTCGGGCCTAGGCCCGGTCGGGCCGCCGGTTCGTATCAGATGGGCCCGGGACCGACCCGAGGGTTGGACGGGTCCGGTTCGGGCCGGGCCACCCGCCCGGGTCATGGGTCGGGCCACCCGCCGGGCCGGGCCGGGCCGGTTAAATTTTTTTTTTAATTTATATTTTATACTTTATAGTTTTATACAAGTATTAAAAAACCAACTTCAAGTGCATTTATTTGAAATGAAATAGGAACTACATTTGAAAATTAAATAGGAACTATAATTGTTTTTAATCGGAATCTCCGGCATAGGTAGTGCCACCCTCTGTAGATTCATCCATAAAGTGTTGGGATGGAGTGATGTCAATTTCTTGAGCTCTACGTGCTGCTTTCAACCAATCGTGGTAGCATATAAGCATCTCAAGAGATTCAGCGCTCAACCTCGTTCTGGTTTGTGTTAGAACATTGTCGGCCGAACTAAATTCTTGTTCCACGGCAACCGTTGAAACCGGCATTGAAACCGTCAATTTATAGGTTTTTTTACCCCCCACCCCTCTCCCACCACCCCCCCCCCACCAGCCAACCCCCCCCCCCCCCCCCCGGACCCCCCTTTACCCCACCCAACGGCTATATAGCCGTTTGGGTTGTCCCCAACCCCACCCCCAACGGCTAGTAGCCCAAGCAAAATTTTTTTTTTTTTAAATTAAACCGGACCCGGGCCCGGGCCCGACCCGGCCGGGCCGGGTCACAATAATCCAGCACCGAGCCCGCCCCACCCCTGCCCCCCGGTTCAGGTCCATACCCGGTCCCGGACCGCCCGACCGGGCCGGGCCGGGTCACGGGCCGGGTGGCCCGAACCGAATATAAATATATTTACTTCATAATTCGGAGTATATAAAATCAGATACTAAAGAAAGTTCAGTTAATTGAGTGTAACTTTTTGAAAATATATTAGTATGAAAAAATATAATTTTGAACTTTTTGAAAGTTCAGTGAATTATCAAAGCTGAGTAATAAAATTCAATGCTATTTTCATATACTCCTTATATTTTGAAGAATAAAAGAAAAGTAATTATGGAGTAGTACATTTCTATAATTTTGAGATTTTGACAAATGTATTTATCCAACATGGGGTTTGATGCACTTTTGAATCAAACAAGGTGATTTGACACATTGAATTTCAAATTTGTAGTATATAGCCGTTGTGTATTGAATCTAATGTTCATTGAAGAAATTTCACCATCTATATCTATATCTCTAAACATTCAGCTACCTTTTGCAAGGAGTCATCTCCTGAATGTGATTTTCATGCAAACTGCCATATCCCATTACAAATACTGTAATATTTTCACAAGCTGTCTCGAATAATGGCATCCCATGGTGCCTTCATCATGTGACCTTCTCAAAGCCCCAGGTTTTAACTACTTCTCTAGCCACTTGAGCAGTCGAGCAAGAAGTCATAGGTAACAACCCTATAGCCATTTAAACAAGAAGTCAATGGTAATAACCTTTCTCTTATTCATTTGTAAATACACTTGGGAAAGTGTGGTTGCACTTCTGGGAAATTGTGTTGCATACATGCGCAATTGTTATTCTTGGACTGAATTCCCTTTGGAGATGAGGATAGTACGACAGCAGAATCCAAATAAAGATAATGAAAAGAAGGAAAGAAAATAACATGTTTGAGTCGCTTCGGCTAAATAAAAGTAAATGAAGTGAACCTAACTTGCTATAGACGGTCAAAACTAACATGAATTACTTACAGTTAAGATGAGCAGAAAACACTAACTTTTGATACACAAAGAATTAGGGAAATGCTAGAGTTTTTTAAATTCACCAAATTTCTGCTACTTCTTGTAAGCTCTACACTCGGGCGAGTTCTCTCTTAGAGGTGATAAGGGCAGCCTTGACGAGTCAACAAAACTATTGAAGTCAATCTTTCTGTCGACTGAACTGCTGATCTTGGCACACGATTTTCTTTTGCTTCCCTGCTAACCATTTTATAAATTAGTACTGTATATCATTACACTGAATAACAGGCACATAATACCATGCAGATTTAATATTTGAAGATTTTTTTGTTGTACACCTGACCTTCGCAGAAGTACTGCTTGTGTTCTTTCCATCAGAACTAGATTTACGCTTCTCCTTCTGATACTGCTGCATTAGCCTCTTGTTCTCTTCATCCAACATATTATTTTCTTCAAACAAAACTTTCACCTAAACCACACCCAAGTATGAACATTACAATATAGTGGTGCTAGAAAATCATATAGTTTTGATACAACTACATACCTCCTCTTCGGCTCTATGAAGGTTGATTAATAAGTGTTCCTTATCTGTCAGCAATGTTCTGACTTCAGCTGCCAATGCAAGCGTATGGTGTGTTGATGGATTCAATCTAGCACGGGGACAGAAAAAACAATTTCATCCAGGGACTTCACAAAAAACAATCTATAGATGGGATCATGGGAAACAGACAAATATTAATTAATATCACAGGCTACCTTTTCCACCTCTTTAGCAATATTTGGCAAACCTCAACATCCTTATTTGCCTCTAGAAAAGCAAGCGCTTTTGATTGAACTTCTTCTCGGCTCATTGTGCTTAACAGCAAAGACTCCAGCAAACCTTTTCCTGTACAAGCTTCTTCTCTGGAAGTACCAACCTTCAAGAAAATAATGTGTACAATTGTCAGGCTACCAAGTCAAAACTATTCCAGCGAAATGTAAGACTGATGGTTCTTAAATCTTACAGCTGACATAATTCAGAATGATAGACATCCGAGCTCCACTGCTCCAGGTTGATTGAATAACAAAAAAAAACAATTTACTATAAGTGTTGCCCCATGAGAATATTAAACCTTAATTGTATAGTCACATCTGAAGTTCATTAGAGACCTGTGTTAAATAGTAACAACGACTTGCAACAACTTGACCTTTTCATGTTGAGTTTATAGCCACTTACAAGGCATAAGCGCATAACAATAAAGAACTCGAGCCGAGGGACATAAACTATCCTCACATTCACAGAAATTACCAGTCCAGCTTATTCTTTTATATCAACCAATCAACATTCCTCTATAAGTTTATCATATAGCCTAAAAACCACATTTTTGGAAAAACAGGTTGCAGACTTGCAGTAAACAAAAATACAAAATACGATTCTTTACTCTCCTTTTCTACTCTCATTTTATGAAAAACATAGCATGTGATACTGTTATACGCATAAATAAAAGCGCACTAATTTCTGAACACAAAGGAAAACTTGACACAATGTTTAGTAGAGTGCATTAGGGTTCTGGTTATATGGGATTGTCGGGGTCCTAGTTAGCTTTTTTGCATTTTAAATGCGTTTTAAACACGTACCATTTTTTTAACAAAAAACATGTTTAAAACGAAAAAATAATGTCGGTCCGTTTAAAAAGGGAAAAACTCATACTTCCCGTATAAATGTATTTTTCCTGTATTTTACAACATATAGAAACATGAATTGATCAATTGAATGAATGCATTAAATGGATAGGAGATCAATAATAGTTTAAAAGCAAAAACGAATTTACACGTTTTTTTAAAGTCAACGTTTTTTCGACGAATTTTTGACCGTTTTTTCATTCATGTTGTCGAATAAAACGTGCACGTAATAAACCTCGTTTAATTCCCGTACCATATTTAACTAACTAGGGTCGGGGTAATGTGCCATTGGAATTTTATATACCCTCTGTGGGTACATGGGCTCCCATTATGTATTTCTCCACAAGGAACATGGAAATGATGGAACACCTTACTCAAAAGAATTCTCACAACTTCACTGGAATAAAATCCCATTCAATACTTCCATAATTTGTGATAGCCCAGCCCAGATTCCTTTCTCTCTTCCCTTACTCAAAATACTCAGAAGCCCTCTTCTTTCGATCTTGACTGCCACTAAAATCTGAGACTTTTCTCTTTCCATTCGATCATTTTATATTCCTTCTATTTTATCATCTGTTTGAGATTACTTGCTGATTACAAATCTTACGGCAAATTCATTCAACTATATTTTTTATCCTTGTGCATAGAATCTTTGACGTGAGTATTTCTCGCTAAAATCAATTTCTCAACCATGGCTAATACCCCGACCCTACTAATCGTCAAGCAGAACTGGAAGGTAATGCTTTTAAAGTATACCTTACAGTGATGTTGTTTACTCCCTCCGTCCCGCTAACAATGGGACAAGAGGGAGTGTCACGCAAATTAATAAAAAGTGGTTTATGTGGTTGATATTGAATTGATAAAGTAAGAATAAAGTAAGAATGATTTAGAGCCACACAAACTTTACCAAATTTGATATGGGACAATCTTAGTGGGATGGACGGATAAGGTAAAATGGGACAATCATACGGGACGGAGGTAGTATTATATTTGATGCTTTCTACAGAGTAATTGGTAGCATAGAGATTGATATTTTTCAGAACTGTTGGTCATTGACTAAATTTCCTTTACGCGTCCTAAAAGCAGAAATCATCATCAAATCACAAAATGTCATTACTAACCAGTTGGGATTCCAACTTGTAGAACCGCAATTCCTCCTCCAACTTCTCTACCTCCTTCTCTAACTCCTTCACACGTAACTCTGCGTCCTTGGCTCTCTGGTCCGCCTCATTCCCAAAATCCATCAAAGCCTCCCGATCACAGTCATATAACGAGCATTCCCTCTCCCATCTCTTGCACTGTTCCAACAAATTCGAGCACTCTATAGCCAGTTTCTGATTCTCCTCCACGAACTTCTTCAGCCCTACCGCATTCAAACTGGCCTCGGCCTAGAAAAACAACACTCTTCAAAATTGAAAAAATAAATCTCATAAAAAGTCAAAAGTGTACAAATAGGCGGAGAATGGACAAACCCTAGCGCGTTCAAGGATGCAATCTTTTTCTTTAAGTTTGGATTGCAACGAAACGCACTGATTGCGGAGCAGGGTGAGTGATTGTTGGGAGGCTTGGAGCTTCGATTGAAGAGTTTGTGTCGACACTGGGAGTCCCAGAGAATGCTCGATAGATTCTCGAATGTAATGGTCCGTTTCTGGCGAAATCTCCATAATTTTCAAGACCCCCGGAAATTGACTGCGTATCCCGAAGAATCCCCAAGCCACGGAAAATATCAAGAACTAATTGGATTCCGATTGATTTCGGTGGAAGAGGAACGGGACTTTGGGTATTTTGAGGCAACGAATTGGAAACAAATTGGAGCAGTGGATGTGCCTAGCCGTTACATTTGGTTTTTGAAGTGCTAGTTTTGACTTTTGCAACCCCATCGGGTGGGGCGGGCGGATGACCTACTCGGCTACTATATTGATATTTGATGGTCATTTTATTCTCGGTCTACACAAAATATGTACATGGTTTTACACAAATAATTAGAAAGAGTTTTGGCATCAAATCTTACTTCTTTTTAAATGAATTATTTGTATACACGGGTAAATAGAGGGGGCTTTGTATATACTTTGCGTACAACTCATGTACACTAAGTATTTTATGATATATGATACTAGTATATGGTTCCATCGTAGTACTATTTTCTCCGTATCATAAAATTTTTCTCTCTTACCATGTTAGTGTGTCCCCAAAAAATTGTTTTCGTTTCTGTTTTTTAAAAGTTTGTGTGAATTGCATTTATTTACTTTTTTATCACTTTCTTAAACTCTATTTATGGAGTATTAGAAATCTACAATATCTGTGTATTAAATGATTACAATATATTTATACTTATATGCATTCACAAATAATTACTAGATATACTTATATTTAAAATGAAAGTGTAAATGTTCACAATCTTCATTGTGGTTGAAGCATAAAGGGGTGTGACTGTTATCAAATGTTCGAGGGTCGAATCCATTCACACTTGTCTTACTTATAGGTTTTTTGGTTCTTCAAGACTTAAATTACTTTAAAATAATTCCAGAGACTTTAATTTCCCATACTTTTGAATTATTAAAATGCCCCAAATTTTAACTACAAACGATAATTATTTGCAAGTATCTCTTTGCACAATCATTAATGAAAATTGATATTTCTAATCATACTTATGCATTTGAAATTAAAATTGATTCTATTGGCATAGTTGGTTGTCCCTTATTTACATTTTAAAGATATTTTTAAACATTTTAAAAATATAATTATAGATATTACGAATTGTGATATTTTATTTCTAATTAAGATTAATTATGTTAGGCTTATACCATAAAGTTTGTTTATATAATTAAATATGAATATTTTTTAGACTAAATAAAAAATAAAGTATGATAATATAGTGTATTATTTCGAATAAATAGTTGGTTAGTTATATTTGATTTTAAAATATACGAAGTAGTATTTATCATATGGTAGATTTTGTGAAATGCATGTGATTATCGGTGTAAGTTTGTCTCCAATGAAAAAAATCTTGGATATGTCACTCATTAGAATATTGATTGTCATGCTCCGGACCGTTGTAAACGTCGACACTGTAGTATAATCGTTAAGGGTAAATGCAATCCACTTTTATACCTCGTCCCTCCACCACCAGTCTTGCCCCGGTCACTCCTTCACTAGTCCTGTCCCCAACTACTCTCCCACCAATCCTACTCCAGACACTCCTCAACTAAATCTGCCTTAGCCCCTCTCTAGCCCCATCCTCACCAGAACTGCCCCAACCCCACCCTACCCCTTGTCCCATCAGAATTGCTTAGCCCCTCCCTATCCTCACCCCCACCAGAACTGTCCAATGCCCAAGCCTCTCCTACCCCATTAGACTCGCCCTTGCCCCAACCCAGTCTCGTAGCCTCACCCAGCTTGATACCAAGCAAACATGCCCAACCGTTCCAAATTTGGAAATAAAGTACCTACCAAATCTGATTCAAGTCCTTTAGCCCTGTTGCTGATTATGAACTAGAAGGGTAGAAGAATTCATGACTGACTGTATGGGCGTCAGAGTTATAAATGTTTAAGAAGAAGATGGAAGAGTTGCGGACAAAAGAAAGGAGGAGATGATGAATGAGTAACGACGGCGACGGCGATTGGTGCACAACAACATGGGAGCAGAGACTTGTCATGAAGTCTAGTGTTTGAGTGAGACAAAGACAGTGGTTTTCAAGTGAGAATGTTTAATAAAATAAAGTACGCTAAGGAAGAGAGACATTAAGCAATAAAGTCGGCATTTAGAGATAATTTTCACAAAAATAATAATCATCCGGTCTTCCTTAATTATTTGTTTAGTTACTTTTATGAAAATACAAGAGGTAGTCATATTTTTTAAATCGGAAACACTAGTTGAAATATGAGTGCCATTTTTAAAAAGGAAATATGGTAAATTTAAAATTAGTTATAAAATAAAATAAATAAATTGTCCTAAACGGGACTAAAACATAGTTTAAAGCCAAAGTATGAGTTAACGTGTTTCATTTCCAACATAGGCGTCATCCACTCTTATATTAAGTTTTCTTCATTTTTGTAGAAGTCCATAAACTGTGCTTCCTCGTCGCTCTCATGCTCATACCCATCATCTCCACCTGTGACATCTTCTCCTTCAGCGATGTCCACAATCCCCAGGTTCTTCTTCTTCTTCTCTCCTTCAGTTCTCTCCTAACTTCATCTACGTTTTATTTTTTGATCGGGAATTTCACCCTCCTCTCTCCTCTCCCTATGATTTAATTGGAAGCATCCATGTGACCATGTATGCCCCCCTCTTCTCTCTTCCTCTTTCGATCGGAATGTTCATCTCCAAGATTGCAATAATGGTGGCGCCAACATCAATTTCAAATATTCTTCCTAGTAGTGGCAGTCACTCCTTCTTTCACTCTTTTTTAAGATGTCATTTTATTATGAAAAGAAGTCAACTTTTGTGAAAGTGAGCGTTTAGGGTGAGTATAAATTGTCGTTTTTAAGGTATCCTTTCAAAGTTCACTCACTTAAACATTTGAAAAGGTTCTCTCAAGAAGCAATTCTGAAAAAAACATATTACTGAACAACCATTCACTGTAAATGAAACCTCCCTCGCTCCAAATTTCAAGCAAGAGTGGGTTCCTAAGGCCAAAGCTGACAATTCAAACACTTCAAATTCTTCTCAATCAGCTAGCTTAGGTTCCCATGTCAAACAAAATCTCAAACAATTCTTCAACATTAATAAGAAAGGATCCATCCTAAGATGGGTACCTGAGCAAACTTAATCTGTTTTGCAGGTCAGTCATGTGTGGCATCTTGATTCTAGTTGCTCGTTGCACATGACTGGACATAAAGAATTGTTGAGCAACTACACTGACAGATACGGAGGAAATGTGAGATTTGGGAACAATGCATCATCCCTTATACTAGGAATTGAGGATGTCATTTGTGAGAACGTCACGATAAACTCGCCCTATACATCTCTCACATTTGAATCTATCTGCAATCAGCTCCCTTTCATCCAAGAAGCTTGTCAAAGGACTCCCTATTCTAAAAAACTCGCCCAACCATCATTGTTCTGCTTGTCATTTGGGAAAGATGAGGAGATCTTCACACAAATCAAAGCAATTTCCCTCCCCTCATCTCGTCCCCTGGAGCTACTGCATATGGACTTATGTGGTCTGATGCGTGTATATAACATAAATGGAGACAAATATACTTTGGGTGTTGTGGATGATTACTCATGCTACACATGGACCAAGTTTTTATGATCCAAGAACGAAACTGCCAACATCACCATGACATTCATCAGGACCATACAAAACTATCTATAGCAGAGTGTGAAGATCACCAGAACAGACAATGGGACCGAGTTCAAAAACAAAGAACTGACTGAAATATACGAAGCTCAGGGAATTACACAACAGTTCTCTGCAGCTAAAACACCACAGCGGAATGGTGTTGTAGAAAGAAGAAACAGAACCTTGGTGGAAGCAGCCAGAACCATGCTTATATAGTCAAACCTCCCTCATTTCATGTGGGTCGAAGCTATCAACACGGCTTGCTTCACATAGAACGGAACAGTCATCCACAGATGATTCGATAAGACCCCTTATGAGATAGTGTTCAAGAGACTCCCTAACATTGCCTTCTTCCGTGTCTTTGGTTGTAAGTGCTACATTATGAATGACACAGATACTAGAGGGAAGCCTGATCCAAAAGCAAATGAAGGAATTTTCATTGGTTATTCGACAGATTCAAAGGCATACAGAGTGTATATGAAGGATAGAACAACCGTCATGGAGAGCATCAATGTGAGCTTCTATGAAATGGCGGACATGGCAACTGAACACTTCCAATCTGAACCAACAATATCTGGAAATAAAGAGGCTCTGACATCGTCTGAAACAAGAGAACAGGTAGGTGACTCAAGATCGGATGAGCAACTGATACTGGATTCACTATTTGAACATTTCTACAGTCAGCCACATGCATCACCAGCCAAAACTCAGAAACCACCCAGACCTACCTGTTACCTGCTCCCACGACATAAAAATCACATACTCCCTGATTAGAACGATGCTGAACATTCCCATGAAGAAACTGAACACCATGATCCACTTACCCCCACACCGAACAACCTGAACAACCTGAATTACAAGATCCTCCTGAATATGCTCATTCTGATCAACCAATCACAACTCCATTGCCTCTCCCTCATGAGAGAGAATGGACGAGAGCACATCCACGTCAGCCAACGAGTGCTTATTCTCATGTTTCCTCAGTCAGAAAGACCCTACAAAGATGGCAAAAGCACTATCTGATCCGGAATGGATAATTGTAATGCAGGAGGAAATGAATCAATTTGATAGATTGAAAGTCTGGACCCTGGTGCCGAGACCTTACAGGAAAAATAATTATGGGCACCAAATGAGTTTTCAAGAATAAGAAGGATGAAGACGGTGTTATCATAAGAAACAAGGCTCGCCTGGTTGCAATAGGATATAGTCAACAAGAAGGAACCGACTACGTTGAAGCCTTTGCACCAGTGGCCAGATTTGAGGTCATCTGATTGTTTTTATCATATGCAGCTCACAAAAGATTCATCGTCTATCAGATGGATGTTAAGATTTCATTTTTGAATGGAGACCTGATGGAAGAGGTTTACGTTGCACAACTAGATGGGTTTGTCGATCCAGAACACCCCAATCATGTTTGTAAGCTAAGAAAAGCCCTATATGGACCGAAACAGACACCGAGAGCGTGGTATGAAGCATTGTTAGATTTAATTTCCTTGTTAAATCATGCTTCTTGAAGGGAAAGATAGATCCAATTCTCTTCATCAAACGTCATAAAGGTGACATCATGTTGATACAAATTTATGTGGATGACATCATCTTTGCTT